GCAGACTGCTGCTCGTTGGTCTTCACTCTGAAGATCCAACCTTTCTGTGATAGCAGCGTTGCTACAGAAGAGGTTTGATGTCGTGAAGCTTGCTGGGCTGGCTTGAGTCACTCCCTAAAGTGGGGAAAGAGAAGAACCCTGGTTGGAAGTGGCTCCCGTTCTCCAGCACAGCTTCTCTGTCCACAGCTGCGTCCTGCTGGAGGGCCAGTGAGGAGGAGCACGCTAGGCGACATCTGGCAAAGAGGAAGAAGCCTGCCCTCTCTTCTCCTCACAGCTGCAGGTTTGCCTTCCCCTGCAGAATCCCAGCCACCAGCCCTGACCCTGAGTAACAGGCAAGAAACCAGGACTTGGAATAAGCCTGGAGCCCAGGCCACCTCCATCATGCATGGCACTGGAAGGGACACTGTGCAACAGCTGGAAACAGTACCCGAGTCACAACTGGCATGACACTGACTTAGATTGTTCTGCAGTGGAGCTAGAAACATCAGAGGTGACCCTCAAGAAGGATACTAGGTCAGAAGAGGCCCTTTGATTCCTTCACTCTAAAGGCAAAAGGATCTCTGTGAGTTCAAGGCCAGCCTTGTCAACATAGAGAGTTCCATGCCAATAAAAACTACATAGTGAGTCTTGTCTCAAAAATCAGAATTAAAACAAATTCGTCCTCCAGGGGCACCCCTGAAGGTGTGGTTGGCCACCCATAGTTTTGTTTGCTTCTTCTGTTTTCTCAAGGTGTCTCCTTCATACCCTGATATCTTCCAGTGTCCCAGTCACTGAACTGTGACTGTCCTGCAGCCCTGTCCTCCGCAGTCCAGCCCTGCAGGGTTTAGGAAGCCTGCGTCCTGCCTGCTTCTCCGAGGGGAAACCGTGAGTACCACAGCGCCATCGTGTGGAAGCCTTGCTTAGGGCATGCTGCCAAGAGCACTGTGCTTCAGGCCAGGCAGCATCGCCCTCCCCGGCTTGGCCTCAGATGGCCCGTGCTGGCTGGCAGGGCTCTGGGGGCTGGGAGAGGAGGAGGCAGTACTCTAGAGCCAAGACAGAGTCTTCCGGAGGCAGAGCAGCCCCATTGAGATACCACCCCCACACACACCCATTCTCTCTGTATCCCAAGAAGCTTCTTGACTTCCACATGCCTCCGTGTCTTCCTCCAGGAGGAAGGCTGTGGCTTCAATTGCTCCGGCTTCATACAGTAGCAGGATGGGATAAATTAAGCCTACAAGAGGACAACGCTTCAGTGTATTGGGACATTTCGAACTCTCTGACCGTAACCCAGAGTAAGAGAAGCACTTTAAAGGCTGTCATCTCAGCATCGCTGAGAATAATTCTTTCTTTTTTTCCATTCTTTTTGTTTTTTTTTTTTTTTGGTTTTTCGAGACAGGGTTTCTCTGTGTAGCCCTGGCTGTCCTGGAACTCACTCTGTAGACCAGGCTGGCCTCGAACTCAGAAATCCGCCTGCCTCTGCCTCCCAAGTGCTGGGATTAAAGGCGTGCGCCACCACTGCCCTGAGAGAATAATTCTTTTTGGTCACAAAGCAATGTCCTACATCAACAAATGCCACATGAAGCATGGCTGGTCAACAGCTGGTATATTCTGGCATGTTCAACTCCGTTTTATTGTTTTCTTTCATATCAGACGAGGTCCCCCCGTAGCCCAGATTGGCTAGGAACTTGAAAGGTAGCCAAGAACAACTTGGAATTTCTGATTCTCCTGTCTCCACCTCCTGAGTGGTGGGATGACAGGCATGCAGTATCATGATGCAGTGCTGGGGAATCAAACCCCAGACCTTGTGTATGCTAGGCAGGCATGCTACCAACCCAACTGAGCCACAGCCCCAATCCCCTAGTCTGATCTTTCTTTCTTTTTCTTTCCTTCCTTCTTTCTTTCCTTCCTTCTTTCTTTCTCTTCTTCTTCTTCTTCTTCTTCTTCTTCTTCTTCTTCTTCTTCTTCTTCTTCTTCTTCTTTTTTCTTAGACGGGGTTTCACTTAATAGCCTGGGCTAGATGGAACTTGCTATATAAACCAGGCTGACCTTGAATGCACAGATCTGCCTGCCTCAGTCTCCTCAGTGCTGGAACCAAAGGCATGATCCCCCATGCCCTGCTAATTTTGATTTTTTAAAAACTAATCACAGAGGGCTGGAGAGCTGTCTCAGCAGTTAAGAGCACTTGTTGCTCTTACAAGGGACCTGGGTTCGGTTCCCAGCACCTACATGACATCATTTCCAGGAGATCCAGCACTTTCTTCTGACCTCTGCAAGGCATGTGGTGCACATATATACATGCAGACAAAACCCTCATACATATAAAGTAAATGGTAAATCTAAACAAACAAACAAACACCTTTAAGCTGACCACTGTGTTGATTTCACCAATGCTTATAACTCATAATCTGAAAGATGGTTGTAGCTGCCTGTCCTGATTCCCTTCCCTCTGTTTGGACTGGTGAATGCAGCAGTCCCTGGACATGGATACCACCAAGCACCTGAGGGGGTGCCTGGCAGCCTGCTGAGAGCCTAACCTATGTCACAGGCTGTCTACCTGCTGGAGAAAGGGGACTGACATCATGCCAGTTCCCATATCCTGTCATTCTTCAAATGTCACCGCCTTTTTTTTGTTTCCTGAGACAGGGTTTCTCTGTGTAGCCCTGGCTGTCCTGGAACTCTCTCTGTAGACCAGGCTGGCCTCCAACTCAGAGATACACTTGGCTCTGCCTCCTGAGTGCTGGGATTAAAGACGCGCACTGCTGAGCTAGCTCACAGCCCCTCTTTGAGGAAGTCATACTGTTCTCAGATGAGAAGTCCCGGGCCAACAAAGGTGAGGTGACTACAGAATAGACAGAAAGAGGACTGGCCCTGCATTAGAATTCAGAATGTGGATCAAGCGAGGAAATTGGCTCTCGAGAAACAGCTCTGAAAACGCTGAATAGGATGGGTGAGTGGCTGAGGAAGAGAAAGTGCTGGAGACAGAGAAAAGCAGATATAGAAGTGGGAGGGGCAGGAGCACCCAGGCCAGATGGCTCCTGGCATTATCAGCAACAGCTGCAGCAAGGGAGGCTGACCTCAGAAGGCCAGGGATCCGGGTATCCCACCATGGGTAGGTTGTCATCCTGGATGAGGGCAGAGGCTGAGACAAGAGGTCAGACAAGGTAGAGAGGCCACTCTGCCCATATGTGACCTCATCTGCCTTCAGTGGACAGGAGCCTCTATTAAGTGGAAGGCTGACATGGCAGTGGCTGACTACAACAGCTCTGCTTGTTTCCCACACTCTGTCCTAGAGGAAAAGCCCTGCACAGCACTGGGACCTGCCAATTGGACAGAGGACAAAACAGAACAGGGTGTGGCCAAGATGGGCCAGAGGCAAGCATGACAGTGGGTTTTGGAAGGGTACAGTGGGGCTGTGGAATGCGGTGAGGAAAATGGATCTGGAGGTAGAACTTAATCTGTGTCACTGTTGCACCTCGTAGAGTCACTGGGCACCTCCCGATGTCAGTCCCTGAGGCAAGTACTGGAGACAGACCCTGTAGGGTGGGAGACACAGGCATTTCTGTGCTCACAGATAAGCTATACAGAAACCAAGAATGTTAACCATGCAGGGTTGTCTCTTCAAAGGGAGAGATGTATAACCTGTTTTCTACCTAGAAGGCTGGGAGTGGAGCTGGTTAGGAACAGAGGTGTTGACCTCTGTACTATCTGTCTGATCAAGACCACACCAGATCCCCCCCCAGACCCTTAAGATGTCACGTGTAGTCAATCTATAAAACCCATCTTTATGGAAGACATGGCATGTACTTTACAAAAACTTTCAATGTAGTCATGTCTTAAGCTTTATTGTGCATCTGGGACTGAGCTAATTACCACCAGCAAACTTTTCCCAAATTGTGTTGTACTTAAATATGTCTAAAATAAACCATCTGGAGTCGGACTCTCAAAGTGTGATCCAGCACCAGCTAATGAGCCATGTTGAACTAGACTGTCTTCCTCCCTCACACAGATCACTGATCATTACTCTCTGGGCCGTGGTGTTTGCAGAGACCCCACACACTTCAGGGCTGCCGAGAGAGTGAGAAATAAAGACTGAATCTGGGGGTGGAGCTCAGTGGACAAAGTGCTTGCTTAGCTCAGTCCCAGTACCACATAAAACCTAGTCTGGGTTAAATGAGACTATCTAAGAAAAAAAGAAAAAGAGGTGTGGGGGAGGGAAGATGGAGAGAGAACGGAAGTAGAAAGAGAGGGAGGGAAAAAGAAGACAAAGGGGGGAGAGAGGGAGGAAAAACAGAAGAAAAAAAAGGGGGGGTGTTGAAGAAATGGCTCAGCAGTTAAGAGCACTGACTATTCTTCCAGAGGTCCTGAGTTGAATTCCCAGCAACCACATGGTGGCTCACAACCATCTGTAACAGGATCCGATGCCCTCTTCTGGTGTGTCTGAAGACAACAACAATGTACTCATATACATAATAAATAATTCTTTTAAAAAAATCACACGTGTATACACACACACACACGACAGGATCTCACGTAGCTCCTATGTAGTCAAGGATGACTGTGAACTCCTGAGCCCTCCGGGTTCTGGAATTCTGGAATTCTGTGTGTGCCATCACACCCAGTTTACTTGGTATTGAGAACCCAGGCTTCAGTGTCCTAGGCAGTCACCCAACTAAGCCATAACCCCAGCCTGGAATCTCTTCCTTTAAACACTAAATCTCCTGGGGAACAGTTTCCTCGGCATTAAAGTGAACACAGCCTTCCAGCCCTTTCAAGAGCCCAGATCCAAGGGTGGGCAATGCCAGGAGGACGCAACACAGCAAGAGCTCGCTCCAAAGCCCTCCCACCCATCTCCTCCCTCACTGGTCCCACACATCTTCCGGTCCCTCCTCCACGATCCCCTTCCTTCCGGTCTCGCCCCCTAGGCTGTATCATTTTCCGTCATCCTCATTGGTGAAAAATACCGAGCCGCCCCCAACTTGCTGAGAAACGCCGGCCGGATAGTCTTTCCCGGAAATGACGCTAGACCCGCCCCTGAGGAAGTGACAGCGGGAGTGCCCTTGACGGGCAGGCCGACTGGGCTCTGCAACTCTGCTCACACTGCCGGGAGGTAGGATCCCTGCGGGGTGAGCTGAGCCGCGGTGGCGGCGCGCTCCTATGCAGGAAGGCGATCGGCAGGCAGAAGCCCCTAGAGGGAGGAGGTGGCCTCGGCAGCTGCACGTCCTGTGCTCCCAGTCTCCCCGCTTACCCCCCCCCCGTGTTCATGTTTTGGGCTTCCCTCCGTACACATGCCACCCTCTTCACTTTGGTACCCCATATCTGGTTCCTGTGCCTCTTAGTTCCTCCTTCCGTAGCTGGGAGCCTTCTTTGCTCGTTCTTCGACAGCTTCCCTTTCTTTAATTTCCCATGAAAACACTTTTATAAAAGATGACTGATAGATTAAAGGTTTTACAGACGGCCTTGGGTTCCAATTGACTGTACTTAAAAAGCTTTCCTACGTTGGACATGTCCCTTAACCTACCTGTTGCCCTGAATGTGGACCGTATTATAACATTTCTTCAGAGTTGATCAGGGAGAACCAATGATATAACCCACTTGAGTCTTGTTCCTCCCTCCATCGACCTTTTCTAATTCCACTCAGTCTTGATTTCTTTTCTTTTTTTTTTTTCTTTTTTTTTCTTTTTTCTTTTTTTTTTTTTTTTGTTTTTTTGAGACAGGGTTTCTCTGTATAGCCCTGGCTGTCCTGGAACTCACTCTGTAGACCAGGCTGGCCTCGAACTCAGAAATCCACCTGCCTCTGCCTCCCAAGTGCTGGGCAGTCTTGATTTCTGTTTGGTTGTCAACCCAGTTTTTCTGTCCTTCAGACTCAACGTCTGTTCGGTGATTCTCATTCCTCACTCACCTCTAGATACTTATTTGTTGTGGGGAAGTTTTAGGGATCAGGTTTTATTGTATAGCCCAAACTTATATCCACCTGCCTCAGCCTCCCAGGTGAAGGATTGACAGGTGTACCCCACCACACCTGGCCCTCAAAAATCATATAGTATTTCCATGCATTTTGCTTCCAATTCTGCATGTTTCCAACACCTTATTATTTCAGATTACTTTGTTTTCCTAGTGTATTGACTTCCTGTTGTATGGCCCAGCTCTTCTTGCCTCTTTCTCCCACAGATGGCTCAGCGGCTTCTCCTGAGGAGGTTCCTGACCTCAGTCATCTCCAGGAAGCCTCCTCAGGCTGGGTGGACTTCCCTCACCTCTAGGACCCTGAAGACCCCTCAGTACAATGCTGGTGGTCTAACAGGAGTGCCCAGCCCAGCCCGGACAGTACACACCACCAGAGTCTGTTCAACAACCTTTAACGTCCAAGATGGACCTGACTTTCAAGACAGAGTTGTGAACAGTGAGACACCAGTGGTTGTGGACTTTCATGCACAGTGAGTACTGGGAGCAGTAAAGAGATGAGGGTCTTACTTAAGCAAGTATTTATTGAGTGCCCACCATGACTCTCAACCATGTTTGATGCTTTACCTACATAAACTCATTGTGAAGACTTTTGAGACCCAGTGCCTGCCCTTAAGGAGCATGCAGTGTGGTAGGAGACAGATTGACAGTCTTCCTAGCATACTAGGGGAAGTGCTGCCTCATGCCTGTGCCCTGTATCTCACTGCCTGAAAAGCTCAGCGTCTTCTCCAGTGTAGAATAGCATCATTATATTTTAACATCCCACCCACTAAAACTGGGCAGAGCTGGGCAAAACATTATCAGTGCCACCATAGTAGTTCCCAAGCATGCCTGGGGTGGGCAGGAGGTGTCTTCTCAGTACCGTAGGAGTGTGTTTTAGAGATACAAGAATGCCTGCACTTTAGCCTGGTCTTCATTTCCAAACCTTTACACCTGATTCAACCAAAAGGCCAAGAGCCCAATTACCATCAGGTTTTCTAGACAAGTCTCTATGAACACACTATAGATATCTTCAGACACACCAGAAAATGGCATCAAATCCCATTACAGATAGTTGTGAGTCACCATGTAGTTGCTGGGAATTGAACTCAGGACCTCTGGAAGAACAGTCAGTGCTCTTCCGTTTTCTTCCTGGTCCTTTCTCTGACTGACGACATTGCCTTGGACAGGCCAGTGAGCGTCCTTGTCATCTGAGATAAGGCCTTGCAGGCTGGCTTTTTAGATAGGGTCTCGATGTGTAGCCTGGGTCAGACTTGAGCTTCCCTCCTCCTGCCTCCACCTCCTATATATGAGATCACTGCTACATGCCAACTCAGAGGAAAGGGCAAACAGGAGTTGATGCCAGGGACCTCCCCCTTCCTGTTATGGTGGAGGGCCTCTGAAAGAAATAGTCAGTAGGCTCATCTTTTTTTTTCTCTACAAGGTAGTTGATTGCATGGTTCACGTTTGTTCCTTTAGTGCCAGGCACACGTCTGGTACCACATACAGAGATGATAGCATGCTGTCTGCCCTAGGAGAGTTCCTGCACCTCAGCCAAGGAGGGCTCGCTCCTGTCCATTGCCAACAGTTGACAGAAAATAAGAAGAAAGTCCTGGAGTGAAAGGGTCACGCAGAGACATTTTGCTAAAAAACAATCCTGGGGAGGTGGCTTAGCAGTTAAGAGCACTGACTGTTCTTCCAGAGGTCCTGAGTTCAATTCCCAGCAACTACATGGTGACTCACAACCATCTGTAATGGGATTTGATGCCCTTTTCTGGTGTGTCTGGAGATACCTATAGTGTGTTCATAGATATAAAATAAATAAATAATTCTTTCAAAAAAAAAAAAGAAAAAAAAAAAAACTAGTGGCCAGAGACATGGCTCAGCAGTTAAGAGCAGTGGCTGCTTTTCCAGGAGACCTGGGTTCAATTCCCACCACCCATATGGTAGCTCACAGATTGTATCTCCAGTAGTGGTGCATACCTTTAATCCCAGCACCCAGAAGGTAGAGACAAATGGATCTCTGAGTTTGAGGCTAGCTTAGTCTACAAGTCAATTTCCAATGCAACAAGGGCTACAAAGTAAAACCATGTTCCAAACCACCACCGTCATCCCTCCTCCCCCTTCTCCCCACAAAAAGGAAAGATGCTTTTAGCAACCTTGAGGTGATCCTGGCTCTGCTTGTTTCATCAAACAAGACTGGGCTTCACTCTGTAGCCCAGGCTAGCCTCAAATTCCTGTTCCTCTTTCTTCCTGTCTTAGTTACTTTTTTGTTGCTATGACAAAATACCCTGACAAAAGAAACTTGAGAGAAAAGCAGCTGGCTCCAAGCAGGGTCCATCACATTGGAGGAACCATATGGCAGAGGCTTGGGGCAGCTGGTCGCATTGTATCCATAATGAAGCAAAGAGGGCTGCTGTGCTCAACTCCCCAGCTCCCCCTGCTTTTTTTTAAACATTATTATGTGTGTGCATACATGCATGCTGGTACCGTGTTATTCATACGGAGATCAGAGGTTAGCCCTCTGGACTTGATTCTTTCCCGCCATGTAGGCTCCCAGCAGTAGACACCCTTCTTGGCACACTCACGCTCTAGCTAGAATCCTAGCTCAGAGAGTGGTGCCACCCACCCACCCACAGTTGGTGGGTCTATCCCTCCTCAGTTTACATCATCAAAATAATCCCCCATGGGCATGCCCAGAGACCCCTCTCCCAAGTTCAGGAACTACTGGACTGCACCCCATTGCCAGGCTATGCACCTTACCATCCTGTCATCTGCAAGAACTCCATGGGCCTTGGTTCTGTTGGGGGCTGTCATCTCTGAAGGTTCTGCATAGCTCTGAGAAGGTTCCAGCACAAACGCTGGCCGTTGGGGATGCGCCTGGGTTTCCGTCCCTTCAGTTCCGCCTTCGGAGTCCCGTGGGGCCCAGGGAGGCTCTGGGGAGGAATGTGGAGCAGCAGGCACTCAGGACTGACTGTCCCTTCTCACCTTCTGAGGTGGTGTGGCCCCTGCAAGATCCTCGGACCGCGGTTAGAGAAGATGGTAGCCAAACAGCACGGGAAGGTGGTGATGGCCAAGGTGGACATTGACGACCACACAGACCTTGCCATTGAGTACGAGGTATGTGTTGGCAGAGAGTTGCCATGGGGAAGCCAAGGTGGGAACGCTGTGGGGACCACCCAGGAACCAGTAAGTGACGTGCCTAGTATTCACTTCAAAGGTCTCGGGTTTGCGCACGGGGCTCTGTTAATCCACTGACACCGTTAGGAAGTGTATTGTGTGGCCCACAGTGCTGGGTCCTCCTCTGTCATTGGTTTTCTGAGATAGGGTTTCATATCATTCGAGCCATCCTCAGAACTCCTGATGCTCCTGCTTCAGCCATTCAAGCATTAGGGTTATAGGAGTCTCCACCATGTCTGGCTCAAGTCTTCCTGTCCTACCCACCTCACTTGCATCCAGCTGTTGCTTATAAGCCCTGGCTGACATGCCAGGCATGTATGTATGATCATGGTAAGGGACATAAGGGGAGACCCTTGTCCCCGGGTGTCTCTTGTTCTGTTGGAAGAGAACGCTCGATAAGATGGTCATTCCACCCCGAGATGACAGGAACAAACAAGAAAGACAGGAAGGAGTTGGCCTATTTGTGTGGGCATACTGCTCCAGCACAAGTCCTGGGGACAGGTCCCATTGCCTGATGTACAGAATGTGGCAGCAGACAACACTGGGCTTGGGGCTGGAGAGATGGTTCAGCAGTTAAGAGCACTGACTCGTGTCCAGGGGACCTTGGTTCAATCCCCAGCACCCACATGGTTGCACACAAACATTGGTAACACCAGCCCCAGAGGATATGGCTCTCTTCTGGCCTCCGCTGGCATGGCATGCACACGGTGTATTTGACATATAACACGCAGGCAAAACACCCCACCCACATAAAGGAAAAATAAAGAGAAAAATTTCAAAGCAAAACACAACTCTGACCTCCCCAAACAGCATTCAAGAATGTTGAGGGGCTGGAGAGATGGTGCAGTGGTTTAAGAGCACTGACTGCTCTTCTGGAGGACATAGGTTCAATTCCCAACACCCACATGACAGTGCACACCTATCCATCACTCCAGTCCCAGTAGCTCAGATGCCCTCTTCTGGCCTTTGTTGGCAAAGTTCCCACACCCATAAAATTTTTTGAAGTTTAAATAAATAAATAAATAAAAACATTCAAATACAGCCAGACTGTGGTAGCTCTACCTCTGTACTCAAGAGGCAGAGGTAGAGGCAGACGGATCTCTGAGAGTTCAAGGCTAACCAGGTCTATAGAGCAACAGCCAGGGCTACACAGGGAAATCCTGTGTTGAAAAAAAAAATTTAAATACATAATATCAAAGTTAAAAAAACAAGTTTGCAATTTTTTTTTTTTGAAAAAGAACTTTGAGTGTCTAATGGGGCAGGTGGTTAACACATGAGACACTTCAGAGCAGTGACTTCTAGAGCAGCTCAGCCCTCTCTCAAGTCCCCAGCCACAGGACAAACTAAAGGCCACAGCATGTTCCAGTCACAATGTTTACAGCCATGGGCAGCAATGGAATTTGGCCCGAGGGCCATGGTCCACTCAGTGCTTTCAAGTATGGGCTCCCAGTACAGAGGCCTTGGCTGTCACAGACACACACTCTGGCTTTCAGAGTGTTCAGAGTTGAAAGTTTTGGCTTGGAGACACTCCAGCCAATGACATCTGTGTAAATGTCCAAATTCTGATGGGTGCTGTGGAGAGAGGAAATGGGTGGGGGGAGGGCTTTTGTTCCCCTTTTTGTTTTGTTCTTTGATTTGGCCTTTTGAGAGAGAATCTTATGAAGCACAGGTTGGCCTTGGAAAGAATGACCTTGCATCTCTGAGCCAAGTGCAGTGCTCACAAGCACACGCCAGCCATCCCATCTGTCAGAGGACTGTGGTCTCAGAGGAGGTAACATGAGAGCAGAGACCTGAATGGAGCAGTGTGTGAAGTGTGCTTGTCTCAGGAAAGGGCCGCTGTGCAGGGCTGACAGAGGCCCTGGGCTGGCCACAGACCATGCAGGGACGGGCAGTATCCTGTGGGCCCTGGACCACAGTTGAGGAGAGAGAGAGAGGCCCTTTGTGGCCGCAGGGCTGGATGAGAGGAAGAGCAGGGTTAGGAGGCCAGGAGGCTGGGAAAGCAGACCAGACCGGAGCAGGGCCTTCCCAGGAGGCTGTGCCGACGCTGATACTCTGACAGAGCCGAGGTCACACCTGGCTGCCTAGGGACTAGCTCTGCTTCACAGACATGTTTGGTCTGGCTCTCAGAGTGTTTTAAAGAAAGGGAAAAGTGGGTGTTGATATTTAAGACTTGGGATTTGTGCAAGCCAGGCATGGTGGTACATGCTTGTAAGCCCAAGACCAACATCAAGTCAGCCTGGGAAAGGTAGCAAGACTTTTTCTCCAAAAAAAGTTCTGTTCTTTGAAAAATCCACCTCTCTTGAAACCTCAAGGCCAGGGTGAACCTTTCCAACCCTCTGGATGCAAGAAGATGAGAGGGTTGGGGAGCTTTTTCTTAGTATTCAGACACCCAGACTCAACCAGGTTTACCTCCCCAAAGGCATCGGGAGTACAGTTACCCATCCTTTGACCAGAGCCCATGGCGGGAAACAGGGGTGGACAGTGTGGGAAAAGTTGCCCATCTCTTGAGCTGGACGAAGAGTGGGATGATAAGTCAAAGGGAAGAAATAAGGCTGCCTGGGACAGAAGAGAAGAAATGCATGCTGGGAAGATAGGGCCTCCCATTCCCACCCAAGGTCCTAGCAGGTGTGAATCTTTGGCCTTCTGGTAAGAATGCAGTGCTGGAGCCACACAGGAACAAGGCATGGGTCAACCTACGACTTCCAGGCTGCCTCCTGGGATCCCCAGGTGCTCCCATGTTGGCCTCAGCATCATTTGTTTGGCAGAAAGCTGCAGACCAACCACATGCCAAAGCTTGGGAACTAGTCATGCACAAAGCAGACTTCCACCAACAGGGGTCCCGTGGGTGACTGGAGTTCCCAGCACCATAACTCCACCTCCTATATTCCAGGGAGCCTGGGATGGGATGCGTGTGGACAGCCCGTGATGAGGCAGGTGAAGGACTCCTTTGGGACTCTTGTCCTCCGCCTGCCCACCATCTACGCAGTGCCCAGATTACACAGAAGGCCTCTACAGCAGCCTGCATCTCCTCTCGACCTCTTTGTTTTATCAAGCCCTGGGCTGGGGACACTGAGGTCCTGTGAATCCCAACAGGATTATCCTGCCTGCCCCTTGCCCTTCCTTCCTTCCACCTAGCCTTTGAGAAGAGAAGAAGCCAAGAAGAGATTTGCTACCAAGCAATCCCCATTCCCCTGGGATAATTCCTACAAGGTCTCAAGCCCTCTTCCAGATATGTGGGCAAGCTTGTCAGAAGAATTGCTCAAAGCAGTTCTCAGAGGCAGCTGCTTCCCAAGCCTTCCTGACCCCTCAATCCTTCCTCCATTATCGGCTCCACTCCACTGCACTGAAGGAGAGGGAGGGAGAGTCCTCGAGGCCTTCGGGGGTTCCCTGACAGCCCCGACTCCTATTCTGCATAGTCTCATCTTGGGGAGCCCAAGGCTTTCACTCCTCTGTCTCTCTCCTGACCACTGAGACCTACAGTTCCTGGGGAGCGAGTAGGGAGGAGCGGGCCATCTGCTGTCCCCTGAGGCTTCTCTGTCCCTCAGCCTTGCATTTGAAGGTGTGATTGCACCTGTGGCTTGTCTGAACTTTTTGGTTTTTCGAGACAGGGTTTCTCTGTATAGCCCTGGCTGTCCTGGAACTCACTCTGTAGACCAGGCTGGTCTCGAACTCAGAAATCCACCTGCCTCTGCCTCCCAAGTGCTGGGACTAAAGGCATGCGCCACCACTGCCCGGCTTGTCTGAACTTTTATTTGTTTATTTCTTCTTTTTTTTTTCCTTTGAGATGAGGAGGCAGGGCTTGTCATGTTTTGTGTGGTCCAGGCTGGACCCAAACTCAGTATATAGCAGAGGATGGCTTTGAATCTTCCTGCCTCCACCTCCAAGTACCAGGATTAAAAGGCATGTACTCCCAGTTTAAATTGGGATGAGCCTGAGGCTTTGCTTGCTAAGCGAGCATCCTACCAGCCGGTCTGTCTGCAGCCTGCTTTGTCTTTTTGTTTTGGTGGGTTTTCCTTTTTAGTATGTATACCTCAATAGGCAGATCACTAACTAGTTTAAAATGTATGCTGTTTTAATCCTTTCTAATTCCCCTATGTGGAGATAAGTGCCTCTCAAACCTGAGCGTGGCCTGTATGTGTAGGGTCAGAGGACAACTGATGGCCATTGGTTCCTGCCATTATGTGGGTTTTGGTGATTGGACTCAGGTTGGCAGGCTTTGTGACAAGTGCTTTTACCTACCCAGCGACCTCTCTAGTCCTCCTGGGATATTTGTTCTTTTTCTTTCCGTGTTTCATACGTGCATAATGCATGGTTGTGCTTCTGTGTGTGCGTTCCTGTGCGTCCATGTGGAGGCCCACGGTAGGTGTTGGGAATCATCTTCATCACCTATCCATTGAAGAAGGTCTCTCAACCCCAGAGCTTGCTAGCCAGATTGCTGTAAGGCTCCTTTGTCTCTGCCCTCTGAGGCTGAGTCAACAAACGGGGAGGCCACCACACCTACCTGGTATTTATGGAATTCTCAAAGAGCAGATTCGAGGACTGAGGGTATATGCCAAAAGCCCTGGGTTTCTTCCTGAAGAGAGGGAAAGAAAAAAGCAGATTATGACCCCGAGTCTCAGGAAGGACGTAATTTCGTCATTCCTCAATGGCTGTGTGTACACACAGCTGTGTGTGTGCTGGGTGCCTGTGCACATGCAGCCTTAAAGGCGCTGCTGGGTGTGCTCCCTGCTCGCGATCCACTTTATTCATTGAGGCAGGGTCTCTCAGTTGAGTACAGAGCTCACGGATCAGCTAGCCTGCATGCTGCAGGATTTTCTGCATCTGGAGTGCTGAGAGTGTAGGCAGTCACCATACCCACCCAATATTATGTGGGCGTTGGGATCCATACTGTGGTCTTCATGGCATCAGAGCCATCTCCCCAGCCCCTTGTCTGCATGGTTTTAGGCTGACATGCAGGAGTCTGTTCTCTCTTTCAACCGTGTGGGTCCAATGGCTTGAACTCAGGTCCTCAAGCCTGGTGGCAAGTACCTTTTCCTACTAAGCCATCTTTCCAACCCTGTTTTGTTTGTTAAATAATGGGTTTGGGTTTTTCAAGACAATGTGTTTCTCTATGTAACTCTAGCTGTCCTGGAACTCACTCTATAGACCAAGCTGGCTTTGAACGCAGAGAGTTCAGAGCCTCCCGAGTGCTAGGATTAAAGGCGACACGCCTAGCAGTAACGGTTTTCCTAAGAACTCTCTTGTATTCACTTTTACAAGACCTTTGCTTTGGCATTTTTTAATTTAGAGCATGGTGTTGTTGAATGCTTCTCTGAATTGCCTTTACCCTGCTGGGGTCCCCATTCTCTCCGGCTCTTACCCTTCACTCTGCAGCAGAAGCAGAGCCAAACAGACTGTGTTTCTTGTTTGGAATCCCTGCTTAACTTTCTGAGTCATCTTGAAATTGGTGCTTTGAGCTCAGTCTTCTCATATCTAAAAGGAAAGTCAAGATGTCGCTCACTCGGTGACAGCACCTGTATGCAAAAACTAATAAAATGGACCAACCTGGGAATCAGCATTCTGTGAGCTTGCTTCTGTGTAAGCACCCAGGATCTTCCATGACATTTAAAGCATCCTCCACCCACTGTGTGTTCCTCAGCCACAGAGATCACCAGCTTCCTGTGGTATCTGCTGTGCTGTCCTTTGACGGTTTCCTAGCAGAGTTGCTGGCAGGTATGTCAGGGTGAGACACGAGATGTCACAGGTCAGTTGGGAAAGGCCATATGAACATTCACGTTCCAGGCTTGGAGGCCCCTGTGGGTTCTTGGAGCAGGACAGGCAGCATGTCTGAGCATGCCCTTTCCCCAGCCCTCGATTCCTATTGTCCTGCTGGAAGTGAGGTGTGCCTTATCCATGGCTCTGCGTTCCCAACACTTTTCTAAGACCGTGTACAAGGGCCCATGCATTATCGTTGATGGTCTGCTCTAAGCACCATTTCCCATAATTGAGTAGCAGAAGCTGTGAGTCCTGGGACAGCCCAGATACTCCTCTAGAAACAGTGTTCTGGAGCCTGCAGCTAGTAGCTACATGCATGCATGTTTATATGCGTGCCGCCCAGACTTACGAGAAAGTCCTTGATCAGTAGTGGCCAGACCTCAATTGTCATGGACACTAGCCTGGTCTTTGTGTGCCCCAGCACACACAGAGGCTTGCACACACAGCACAACCGTACAAGAGGGAAACTCCATTCACCCTGAGTATCTCAAAGGGAGAGGAGAGGCCTGCTTAGACAGGCCAAAGGGACTTGACAAAAAGAAGCTCCTTATTTTGTTTTTTTTTTGCGTTGGGATGGAACCCAGGCCTCATGCCTGCTAGGCAAGTACTCTACCACTGAGCCACACCCTCAACCCTAAGCCACATCTTAAAACTGGAATATTTATTGTAAAGGGACAGAATGTTTCAGTGGTTGTCCCTGAGTTTCCAGCCTCCGGATGCTGCAGCTCATTCACTGGCCACTAGAGGGTGCACGAACACACCTAATGGGGGTTCCTGGAGCCTGTTTTGCTGGTCCCTGCTTTTTCCTGGAGATAGTGCAAGCCTGATGCTGGGCTGGTAATGCCACCAGTCTGACAAGGACAAGAGCCCACAGGAAGGCTGTGACTGGGGACACTCATGGTCATCCCAATTCCTGTTTCTGGCACATACCCTGTGCCACCCATGGCACCCCCAGGATCATCCTTAAAGGGACCGGAGGTACTAAAGTGCTTTTCCCATTAGGACCTGTCTGTCACATGACCTATGAAGGCTGTAGGATGGGGCCAAGTGGCCTTCACTTATCTCTTTTGTGATCTCTTTGATCACAATCTCAGTCTGGCCTCCGCCTCCGAGATGACTCATCCCGCAGCCCTCAGGCTGTGTGAAGGCCTAGTGGGCTCCTGTACCTGGCTCTTGTTGCTTTGTAGCTAACTTGGTACTTAAGCTAGGTCCCTGTTTACCTTCCTCCGTTTATGTAGGTTCTCGAGTGCCAGCAGATGCCAAGCATCAGGCAGTCCGCCATGCTTGGCCAGCCAGCCTCATACATAGTTCATGTAATCTGTCTGAGTCCCCAGCGCTGTGGAGGCAGTGCCTCATGGAGCAGGAATGCCCCCTTTCCGTCTGCCAGCCCTCACTAAAGCCTCCGATCGATCGCCGGGCAGTGGTGACGCGCCCCTTTAATCCCAGCACTTGGGAGGCAGAGGCAGGCGGATTTCTGAGTTCGAGGCCAGCCTGGTCTACAGAGTGAGTTCCAGGACAGCCAGGGCTACACAGAGAAACCCTGTCTTGAAAAACCAAACCAAAAAAAAAAAAAAAAAAAGCCGCCAATCACATATTACTACCCAATCCAACCCGGGTTGGGAAGAGGCTTCGAGTTTCTGGTCCCTGATAACCAAAGCCCGCCAATGTGGTCCTCAGCGGGTCAGGCTCCACAGCACCCATAGTGTGCCCTGAACCCTGTACTGTCTTAGCGTGTGTCACTTGGCATTCCTATGCCCAACTAAAAGTATTATCAGTGTCTCCACAAGCCGAGACTTGAGGCAATAAAACACTTACCAGGTTCACCCAGGATAGGAGTGAGGTGGGGTCACCCAGCCCTGGAGCTCACATCCCTGACCCCTGAGTTCTGTCTCAAACATTCAAGGTAAGCCACAAATGCTCAGTACACAGAGAAAGGCTGTGAGGCTTGGAAAGCACCCTGACATGCAGCGCACACGCACGCGCGCGCACACACACACACACACACACACCGGCTATTTTCATCTCGTCAATGTAGCCAAACCTCTGGACCAATGAGTCAGTCCTGTGGTTCAGGGAGGAGGAGGATTCTGGGAGTTTGCAGTAGAAGAAGTTCTAATGGTGGGTGGGCCTCCTCCAGTCCCTGCACCAAGCAAAGACCCCATTTCCTTTGGCACGTCCTGTAACTTTGGCCTTCTCAACAGAGACTTAGGGAAGGCGCATGAGATCCATTCACCTCCGAGTGATGTGTACTGTGGTTCCCTCACCCAGGTGTCAGCTGTGCCCACCGTGCTGGCCATCAAGAATGGAGACGTGGTGGACAAGTTTGTGGGCATCAAGGACGAGGACCAGCTAGAAGCTTTCCTGAAGAAGCTGATTGGTTGACAAGCAGGGAAGAGGCCTGACTACTGCCCTTGCCTGCTGGAACCCTGTTTGGGGAGGAGCCTAGTAGAACTCCCAGCCCTCAGCTGTCATCCTTCCTGCCCTGCCCTTCTGTTTTGTCCTCGTGGGTCTTGCCTTTGACAGCAGACCTCCAAATGTAGACGCCACCAGCACTTCAGAGCCAGCCCTCAGCCAGGGTGGTCAGGAGAGGAGCAATGCTGCCACTGGTGTGGGGGGCATCCTGTACACCTCCTACTGTGTGCTCCTCCTGTGCACTTACTGTGTGCTCCTTCTGGGGCCTGTCGCTCTTCCCCTAGATGCTGGAAAAAGCCTGGGCCAGCCTGTGGCCTGACCGCACAGGTAGTCGCCTGGTCCCCATCTCTGTGGTCCTCTCTGATCTGTGCCCCAGACCCACGCATTTGCCTCTGGCACGGTTCCCATCCCACCTCTGCTTGAAAAGGAAACCAGACACTGAACAAGTGAGAGTAATGTCTAATTCTCTCATTTTTTTGTAGGTCTATAATAAAGAACTTTATGTGGCCCTTCTACCTCTTGCTGTGAAGAACAGAGCCCACCCCATACCCTGTGTCTGTCCCTTCTCTTCCTTGTCCATCCCTGGGTTAGCTGGGCCTTGGTTCTGGTGCCCTGAGCAGGAGGAGGAGCTGTAAACAAGTCAGACCAATAAAACCAGGTTCTCACTGCCACTGGCTGTTCTTCTGTGGGTACTGAGCACTTAGGATGGATGGGTATTCCTGGGCCCACCACTGTCCCCAGTTCCTCTTGGGTTCTCTACCCCTCTCATGACTTGTGTTCCTGTCCGTCATGGCTCTTGGTCTGGCCATGCCATCACAGACATCCCCTCTAAGGTCCAGAGGTTGGTGTGCTGTTTCCCAGAATGCAGACAAGAGCTCAAGGAATGCAGGCTGGGCTCTACCAAAAGCGGTTGTCTTAGAAACCTGGATTCCCTCAGCCTTTTGGTGCCTTCTTCCGGGACTGGCTTCTGACCAGTCCTGGCTGGGTGGCACTTCTTCCTATATAGGCCCACAGGAAGGTCTAGTCCTTGGGACCGGACCCTCCACCCATCCTGTTCCCTCTCCTGCTCCCTTGCCTACAAAGAGTGCCAGGCTGCCCAACCACGAAAGCCCAGCCTATCACCCTCCCAGGGCTAAGGGACCACAGTTGCTTGATACCTGTTTTCAGCAAGTCACCAGTACTTGATGACAGAGGGTCCTCATGCCCTCTGAACTTAGTGTCCTGAGGTGTGTGCATTTCTCATAATGATATACGTGGTTTCATTACAACCCACTGAAAGAGGGAGATCCACCTGGGGACAAACGAGAAGGCTGCCCTTGCTGAAACAGAATGGTGGAGAGGGTGGAGGTCCAAAAGACCTCGGGGCTGGAAGAAAACTGGCCTAGTGACTGTTCTGCAGAGACCACAAGCAAGGTAAATGAATGACAGCCTTTGGTCAGAACCTCTCCTGGGTACCGGGCGTGGTCATAAAGAATATATTAGGGTCAGAGGTTAGAGAGCATGGCCAAGGCCATGAAGCCCACCAGTGGCCAGGCACTTATCTTCTGTGCCCTCTCATGGTTTTGAGACCATCTCATGTATACCCAGCTAGCCTTTTGCTTGCTAAGGATGGTCTTGAACTCCTGATCGCCCCTCTTCCCCTCTGGAGTTTTGGGGTTACAGACATATACCACCACCCCTAGTTTTATTCAGTGCTGGGGATTGAGCCCAGGTCTTCATACATGATAAGCAAGGACTCTACCAACTGAGCTACGTCCCCAGCCCCCCATCACTACATAAAATATGTGCCTTTCATGTCACAGGCCAAGAAGGAGTGTGGGCCTATTTTATAGAAGAAGGACCCAGCTGAGTAACTTCAGATACTCCATAAGGAAGGGGGCATGGCCAAAACTCAAGAGTCTGCCCTACTGTACCCCACTGCCACCCCTTAAAAGGTACCATTCACCAAACGCTTTAACATACATTACCTCATTTAATTCTACTCTGATGAGGCAAGGGATCATTTCCATATACAAGCAAAGGAATCAGTTCAGAGACATGGACCTGCCCAAGGTCACATCTAAAAACTGACTGACTGACTGACTGACTGACGTTGCCACATACAAACCCAGGTGGGAGTATGACTCCTAGAGAGATGTGGAGAGCCTGGCAGAGGGCAGGAACCAAGTTCCCCCTCCTTAAAAGGTGCTTCCACAGGCAAGGTGAGCCCAGGACGAGAGACACAGCTGTCCCAGGTTGGCAGCCTCTGCCAATGATTAGGTGTCCATGAGTCACTGACTGTGAGCACAAAATGCACTAGGTGATCTACTTAATTCTGGGTGCTGACCTCACCTCACCAGGGGTGTGGAAGTTCCACAGTGGCCTCAGATCCCCCAGGGGGCCTCAGGGCTATGGATCTGGGGTGGGCAGCCCCGCTGCAATGTGGAGAAAAACACGTCACTTCTCACTTTGCGTACTGACTTGAGATAGATGTAGCCCAATCTAGCCTAGAACTCAAGATGGTCCTCCTGCCTCAGCCTCCTGAGTGCTAGAATTACAAGTATATACCACCTTGCTTGATGTTGTTAAAGGCCTTTTATCACCAGGTGGGAAGCCTGAGAGAGACACAGGACCACAGGCTCCCCTGCACACTAACCCATGGGCTGCCTGCCAGTGGTGTCCTGCTGAGGCTGGCCTGGGGGCCGGAAGTAGAGATGGAAGCACCTTAACCCACATCCCTCAACTAGACCCTGCAGGCAAGCAGGAGCCTCCTAGTCACAGGAGACTGAGCAGAGAGGGACTGCAGTAAATGCCGAGACTGCATTCCACAGGGAAGGCCAGTCACCGGGAGCCTTGGCGTTTAGCAGAGGCATTTGGGGTGACACTGGAGAGGTCACAAACAGATTCCTCTTACTGCGTGTCTGTACATGGGATCCAGGACCTCACACACACTCAGTGATACATGCTCTGCCATTGAGTCACTGTTCCCAGTAAGCTCCTCCTGCTGTTGAAAGGAGACTGGCTGTGCTAACTAGAAACTTGCATTCCAAAGACCCCACAGGAGGCTGCTTGTCACCCCTGAGCTGGTGTCGGAGCACATGGGCAGCTTTCTGGTACCATCCAACCTCCCTCCTGAGGGCATAGGGAAGGATAGACTCGGACTGAATCCCAGCGCCCTGGCTTCTACCAGGTGTAAAACAGTGCTTTCTCCCTTGGCTGTAGGAGAGGTGAGTATGGAGGTCACTGTGTCTCCATGATGGCAGCCTCCAGGTCCAGACCTGGAAGGTTCAGAGGATGTTGGCATGTCTCCATAGTCGCTCTTACCAGAAGTCTCTGCCTGGCCAGGGGAGCAAGGCCTACTCACTCCCAACAGTTGCTACCAGGGGACAGCTTTCCCAGAAAGTGAAGGCTGTTTTGGCCAGGCTGCGGAAATTCCTGACCTGTGGGCCCTCAGCAGGCAGGGTCCAGAGAACAATGTCAGGGCCATGTCCTCATTGGACAGGATGCCAGGCAGCAAGCAAGGCTTCCAGGCATTCTACTGTGGTTCCTCACCAATGCCTAGAGCACCAGCCACCAGCCAAATCCTGAACCTTAGTCCCAGATGCCTAAGGCCAAAGTGTGGCTACACAGGAAGTCTAAGCTAATGGTCGTTCCAAAGGAATGTCACCTCCAACAGATCACTCCACAGAGCAGGAAGAATCAGGTCCTGCTCAAATCCTTCCATTGGACCTTTTGCACACAGCCTCGGATCAGACGGTTTACTGTCAGATGATGAGTCTTGCATCAGAAAAATGGAGATGCTGATGATGGCCTGCGCTCTCTGAGTGTCAGGGTCATCGCAGCCAGTCCTCACAGTAACCTCAACAACATGACAGGGACTATTGCTATTGCCACTTTACAGATACCCACCAGACAGATTGCTTTCCCTGTGGGGCAAGGTTGTCACCATGCTGTGGCCCAAACCCACCCCTGTAAATTGGGACTCACCACAGTGCTGATTCAGGATCTGGGTAGGATTAGGGGGACATAGCAGGTTTAAACACTCAGTCACTCCAAAAGAGCTTAAGAAGTGTTAGGTATTCTGGGAGGCAGAGGCAGGTGGATTTCTGAGTTCAAAGCCAGCCTGGTCTACAGAGTGAGTTCCAGGACAGCCAGGGCTACACAGAGAAACCCTGTCTCGAAAAATGAAAAAAAAAAAAGTGTTAGGTATTAAAAAAATAAATAAAATAGAGAAAAATAAAAGATAGATGATAGAGATAAATAGAAAGATAGAAAGGTGGTTAGATGATAGACAGACAGACAGACAGACAGACAGACAGACAGACAGACAGACAAGAAGTTAGGTAAATCTTCCCCTTCCTGGCTCTCTCTGCTCTAACCTGCTCCATGCCTAGCCCAGGCTACTGGTCTTCCATTGGGCTTTGAGTCCTCCCTGATCCCTGACACTGCCCCCTCCTGCCCTGGACTCCAGCAGCCCCAGAGACCCAGAGATGACCTCACCCCTGGAGAATGCTTAGTGGAATTCACCCTGAGTCCTCAATTTGCCACACCTCCTCCCAGTTCTGACTGTCTTCTGTTGACACCCAGCGGGAGTGTGTCTAGGTGGTGGGCCAAGGCCCTACCTGCAGCCAACCTACTGGGTAAACACTGGTAAGTGGCTGTCTCCTCTGGCCCACTGCCTTCCTCTGCCTCCTATAGGTCTCTTGCTGCCCACAGGTCCCAGGCCTCCCCTCTGCATCTTACCATGTCCATCTGGGCTCACTGCTTCTGTTCCTGCTTCATACATGCAGAGACCTTAACCCGGGGAGGTGGTGTGGTATGTGAGTAACTCCCTGGGCTTCCTGCTCCAAACTAGAAAACATACTAACACTAGAAAATGGGACAGTAGTGCTGTGCCCCTTTAATCCCAGAACTTGGAAGGCAGAGAGAGAGGCAGGAGGATCTCTGAGTTTAAGGCCACCTGGCCTACAAAGTTCCAGGACAGCCTGAGCTCCACAGAGAAACCCTGTCTTGAAAAATCAAGAAGGAAAGAAAGAAAGAAAGAAAGAAAGAAAGAAAGAAAGAAAGAAAGAAAGAAAGAAGAGAGAGAGAGGAAGAGAGAGAGAGAGAGAGAGAGAGAGAGAGAGAGAGAGAGAGAGAGAGGAAGAGAGGGAAGAAACCATGCTCCCAGGAAGAATGGGAGCTGAATGGGGTCATTCCCCTGCTCCCAATTTGTCAACCTCCCTCACTATCAATGGTCCATGTCTGAAAGGAGCTGAACCACCTCCTCCCCCATGACAATCGACCTGAGTGGATTGTTGCTGCATTAGAATGTTAGCGCATGTGCAGTTAGTTACACAGTAAGCCCCTGGGAAAGGTTCTGTCCCCCTGGGGGTGAGGCATGTGTCATCCTGTGCAAGAGACACTACGGTTAAGCCCCACACACAGGGCACAGGCAGGCTGGAGGGACAGTGTTCTGCCCGGAAGCAGCATCGATTGCTCCTGAGGTCTGTGTCCTTGGCCTGTATATGACCGCTTTCTTGCTCTGTCTTCACATGGATTTTCCCCTCCTGTGCACAGGTGTACATCTCTACTGCTTCCTGATTTTTAAAAATGGCTTTTTTTTTCATTTTTTTGTGGGTTCTTTTGTTTTGTTTTTTTTTTTTGTTTTGTTTTGTAATTTTTTAAAATTAGTTTGACTTTTAAAAAAAAG